GCTGGAGAGGGTCCTAGTGGAGGGGGTGAGGGGGGAGGTTTCCCAGGGTGTGTTGACACTGCAGTGTGAGCCCAGAGTTCATGCCCAGACTCAAGCCTGACCACCCCCCCGCCCCGTTCCATCCACGCACACACGTGGTACTGACCAGGCCTTGGCCCCAGGGCCCCCTGAGGGGCAGAGCAGCTGAGCCAGGAGCTGGGTTCCAGCCCTGTGGCTTTGCAGCATAGACACGGGGCCCCTGGCTTCGTGCTCTGGGCATTGGCCAAAAAGGATCCAATTTCCTGTCCCCTCTGAAAAGTCCCATTTTCCCCTGTGCTGGGGCAAGAGGTCACGTTTTGTACTGACCAGGCCTTGGCCCCAGGGCCCCCTGAGGGGCAGAGCAGCTGAGCCAGGAGCTGGGTTCCAGCCCTGTGGCTTTGCAGCATAGACACGGGGCCCCTGGCTTCGTGCTCTGGGCATTGGCCAAAAAGGATCCAATTTCCTGTCCCCTCTGAAAAGTCCCATTTTCCCCTGTGCTGGGGCAAGAGGTCACGTTTTGGGAGGGTGCTGGGGTTTCTGGAACGTGGCTGGCTGGATCACATGGGGAGGGCCCTCCGCCCCCGAAGGTTAGGGTGCCCCTCTCCTGGGCTCCTACTGCAGCCTGGTCGGAGCCCGGGCACCCTGACGCCTCTCTGCCTCCCCCAGTATTTCAGCTACAGCATCGTGCTGAGCCTGCTGGCCTGCTCCGTCTTCCTGCACATCAGCAGCATCGGGAAGCTGGGGCTCATGCTGGCCATGGAGGGGCTGTACCTGGTGCTGGCCGCTATGAACTGCTGGTGGTGGCCAATGCCCTGTGAGTGCCTGAGCCGGCCCCCCAATCCCGGCTCCCCCGTGGTATTTCTCAGGGTGCCCAGAGCTGGGTGGCACCTGCCTGTGTTGAGCGGGAGACTTGCTTGTGCATCTCTGATGCCAGCATCCCCCTCCCCCCCGCCACCCAGCCAGTCCTGTGCTGTGCCCAGCAGGCTACCAGCGGCTTCTCCCAGGCAGGAACACCAGGGCAGCTGCCCCAGAGAGCAGCAGGCACCTGTCTGAACGATTCTGCGCAGGGGCGGCCCCTCGCCCCGCCCTGCAGCGTGGGATCTAACGACGGGGCCTTGTTAGGCCCCGCGGGATGCTGAGGTCGTGAGTGAGAAGGGAGGAGACCAGAGTGCAGCTCTACCGAATCTGAGCCTGGTTCCTGGCCACCGCCTGCCCGGCGGAGGTCCCGGATGGTGCTGCCAGGGGTGTGTCCCTCACCCGCTCCCCTTGCCCCCAGGGTAGGATGAGCCCGCTGTGCTGCTCCCCCGGAGAGTGGCCTCCATCGACTTGGGGGGGGTCATTGCCTCTCTGAGGCGGGAGCTAATGTGCTTGCTTCGCACGCAGAGCCAGGTGAGCAAACCGCTCTCCTCCAGCAGGAAACCCGTTTGTCCGCTCTGCCTGGACCAGGCTTCTGCCCGCCGTGGGCGCACGTGCGTGGTGCCCGGCACGGCCGTCACACGTGGGCAGTGAGGACCGGGGTGACCCGGCTTTCGTTTCACACCTCCCATGCTAAGGCTTTGGTGACTCAGACTGCACATCCCAGGTCAGGATAGCCTGTAGCCCGGCTATAGGTGGGGCTTATGGGTCTCATACCCCCAGCCCCAGAGGACACCCCTCAAGGATGTAGCTCTGCTGAGGATCCAGCCAGAATCCTGGGGAACTTTATTCCTGTCCCTTACTGGGCCACTGCTGTCATGCCTCCTGGGGGTGCTAGATTGTGTCGTCCCCCCTCCCCCCAAAGACATGGGGCTGTGGTGCTCATGTCCCGATCGCTTCCCCCTCCCCCTCCCCCAATTGTCTAAGCATTGACTCTTCTCTCTGCTAGGCCAGCCTTGAATGAGACCCAGTGGACTTCAGGGTGGTGAGTGGGGAAGTGGGCTTGGGGGGAGCTGGCACAAGGGGCCTTGAGGATGGGAGAGGGGTGAAGCAGCCTGGGGCAAGTGAAGGGTATTATGGGGGTGGGTTTGGGGGCATTACAGTGGTGCTTGGGGCAGGTGAGGGGCCTGGAGGGGGTGAGGGTCTGGGGTCCCCCAGCCCATGGTTGCAGAGCCCTGTGTGGGTACAGCTAGGGGGCCGATCTCTGGGGGCAGCGAGTGCTCATGGATCCCCCAGGACTTGTGAGCCTCGTGCGCTCTCCACCCCCAGCTTGGGAGGGTGTTTTGGGGTCCTTGGTGCCTTTCTGCAGCCTGACACCTCCTCCACACCCGTGTCCCCAGCCTGGCGGAGGAGAAGGTGGCCCTGAAGTACATGACCCCTGTGATCCTGGCCGTCTTTGCCTTGGCGCTCTATCTGCACGCCCAGCAGGTGGAGAGGACTTGTGAGCCTCGTGCGCTCTCCACCCCCAGCTTGGGAGGGTGTTTTGGGGTCCTTGGTGCCTTTCTGCAGCCTGACACCTCCTCCACACCCGTGTCCCCAGCCTGGCGGAGGAGAAGGTGGCCCTGAAGTACATGACCCCTGTGATCCTGGCCGTCTTTGCCTTGGCGCTCTATCTGCACGCCCAGCAGGTGGAGTCCACGGCCCGACTTGACTTCCTCTGGAAGCTACAGGTAGGGAGGGGCCAGGGTGCTGGGGGGGGGGGGCGGGGGTCTGGTCTTTCCCCCTGG